TGGCCCCAGACTAGGATCTAGTGGTAGCTGGCCATCATTCACAGTTGGCCTCTCCCAGTGCCTTCAATCCCAGCACAAGTAGTAGCTGTCTGCAGATTGCCTTGTAGCTCATGCCAGGTGGCCCTGGGCAGGGCATAGGCAGCAACTGACCTTGGACTGCACATCATGGGAGCCCCCAGAGTCAGCATACCTGGTGGATAGCTTCAGACCACACTGAAGTTCCACCCAACCATCTTGACAATCAACACACTCAAGGAGAGGTCTCACTGGGCACCAGAGCCCTGCTGAAGGGAATCCAGCTCTGTGGGATTGGCCCCTGCAGATCCTCCAGGGATCCTCCACTGTAGTCATTGCCTGTCCTTACAGCCAATGGGCCTGGGGGTAAATCCCTCTCTTTGAAATGCCAATGGTAATCAAGGCTCAATTACAAAAGAAAAGTACACATAGCCCATGGCAGGGGGGGGTGGTACACCAGAAGCACCCCACTCAGGTGACCAGAGAGGCTGTACCACTAGGCCCTACAGCACACCTACTACATAAGACCACTCTACCAAGCCTGGGAGGTATAGCAGCTCTACCTAATACATAAAACAAACAGAGACAGCCAAAATGAGGAGACAAAGGACCAAGTCCCAAATGAAAGAACAGAAGAAATCTCCAGAAAAAGAACTAAACAAAATGGAGACAAGCAATCTATCAGACGCAGAGTTCAAAACACTGATTATAAGGATGCTCAATTAACTTAGGAGAAGATTAGATGAACTTTATGAGAACTTCAACAAAGAGGAAACATAAAAATGGAAATAGAAAACGAAAAAGAACCAGGCAGAAAGAGAGAACACACTAACTGAAATGAAGAATGTGTTACAGAGAATCAACAGTATAGTAGATGAAGCAGAGGATCACATGAGCAATTTGGAAGGTAAGAAAGCAGAAAGCACCCAGTCAGAACAGCAAAATGAAAGGAGAATACAGAAAATGAGGACAGTGTAAGGAGCCTCTGAGACAACCTCAAGCATTCCAACATTCACATCGTGGGAGTGCTGGAAGCAGAAGAGAGAGGGAGCAAAGAATTGAAAATCTAGATGAAAGAATAATTACTGAAAAACCTCCCTAACCTGGTGAAAGAAGTAAATATGAGTTAAGGAAGCACAGAAAGTTCCAAACAAGATTAAGCCAAAGAAGGCCACACTAAGATATATCATAAGTAAAATGCCAAAGGTTAAAGACAAAGAGGAAATCTCAGCAAGAGAAAAGCAGTTAGTTACCTGCAAGGGAACTCCCATTAGACTGTCAGTAGATTTCTCAACAGGAACTTTGCAGGCCAGAAGGGATTCACACAAAATATTCAAAGTGATGAATAGCAAGAATCTACAACCAAGATTACTCTACCCAGCAAAGCTATCATTTAGAATTGAAGAACAGATAAAGAGCTTCCCAGACAAGGAAAAGCTAAAGGAGTTCGTCACCATCGAACTAATATTTCAAGAAATATTAAAAGGTCTTCTTTAAGAAGAAGAAAAGATAAAAAATATGAGTAATAAAACAGCAGTAAATGAATATCTATCAATAGTTATTTTAAATGCTCCAATCAAAAGACATATAGTGGGTGGCTGAACAGAGAGCAAAACAAGACCCTTACATATGCTGTCTATAAGAGACTCACTTCGATCAAAAGGTACACATAGACTAAAAGGGACAGAAAAAGATATTCATGAAAGTGGAACTCTGGCTGGTGTGGCTCAGTGGATTGAGCACAGGCCTGAGAACTGAAGAGTCATTGGTTTCATTACCAGTCAGGGCACATGCCTGGGTTGTGGGTCAGGTCCCCAGCGGGGGGCATGCAAGAGGCAACCACACATTGAAGTTTCTCTCCCTCTCTCTCTCCCTCTCTTCCCCTCTCTAAAAAGAAATAAATAAAATATTTTTTAAAAAGAAAGAAATTAGAAACAAAAAAAGCTGGGGTGGAAAGAAATTGGAAACCAAAAAAACATATACTAGAAAAAATAGACTTTAAAACAAACAAGAAAGGACCCAGCAATTCTACTTCTGGGTATTTATCTGAAGAAACCCCAAACACTAAATAAAAAGGACATACACCTTTATTTGTTCACTGCAGCATTATTTACAATAGTCAAGATATGGAAGCAACCTAATTGTCCATTAATAGATGAATGGATAAAGAAGTGGTGCATCTATACAATGAAATATGACTCAGCCATGAAAAAGGATGAAATCTAGCCATGTGCATGGCAACATGAATGGACATAGAGGGTATTGTGCTGAGTGAAATAAGTCAGGGAGAGAAAGACAAATGTCATATGGTTTCACTTATATGTGAAATGTAAAAAGAAAACCAAAAAACAAAATAAGCAAGCAAGCAGAACAGAAATGGTCTTATAGATACAGAGAATATTTTGATGGTTGCCTGATGGGAGGATAGTTGGGGAGGTTTGGTGAATGGATTAAGAAGTACAAGTTTGCAGTTACAAAACAGTCCCAGGGATGTAACGTACAGCATAGGGAATATAGTCAATGTAGTGTAATACTTATGTGTGGTGTCAGATGGGTACTAGAATCATCAGGGTGATCACTTCATAAGTTATATAAATTAATATAATATTGTACATCAACTATAATTGAAAATATAAAAATTATTAAAAACAAAAAATGAACAATTGGTAAGCACTTTCATTTGGTTACTAAACAAATATCAGTATTTATTGAGCACCTACTATCAGCCAGACAGGGAGACAGGCACTTTGTAAGCAAAACCACCCTGACCGGTGTCACTGACATTCCTGATGATCTCGATCTTGGCAAATCTAATGGTCAGTTATTTGTTCTCAACTTAGTCCCCCTCTCAGTAGATTTCACCCTCTTTCCTTCTTCAAATACTTTCTTCTCTATGCTTCTGAAGTGCCATTCTGTCCTGGTTTTCTTTTATCTTCTTGGCCATGCCTCTGCCATATCATCTGCTGGCTCCTCTTTCTCTGGAAAGCTAACTGTTGGACTTCCTTTTCTATACACGTTCTTATCCTAAGTGATCTCCTCTAGTCTTCTTGGTTTAGCACCACTGAGACGCTAATGACCCTAAAATCTCTATCTTTAGTCCCTTCTTTACCTTGAGCTCTGGACTAGATCCTATATCCAACTGCCTGTGTGATATCTCTACCTGGATGCCCACTAGGCATCACAAACAGAGTTACTGATTTCTCCCCAAAGTCCCCACACCAAAGCTGCCCCTCTCTAGTCTTTCCCATTTAGTAATTGAATCATTTGCCCTGGTCAAGTGGCTCAGTTGGTTGGAGCATCATCCAATACACCAAAAGGTTGTGGGTTCAATCTCCAGTCAGGGCACATACCTGGGTTGCAGGTTCGATACCCTGTTGGGGTGTATGTGGGAGGCAGCTGATTGATGTTTCTCTCTCTCTTTCTGTTTCTTCCTCCTTCTCTAAAATCAATGAACATATCCTCAAGAGTGGATTTTTTAAAAAGTTGCATCATTTGCTTGACCAAATATCTAAACCTTAGACATGGTGTTTAGCTTCTTGTAACAGAATCTAACTTAACAAGAGAGCAGTTGTGTTTTTCACATAATTAGAAGACCAGACACAGGCAGACCAGGGCTGTGTAGTGGCTCCTTGATGATAACAGTGTCCTGGGCTCCTTCTATATTTTTCTTCACTGTCCTGATGGTTGCAAGATGGCAGCTCTTCCTCCAGCCTCACATCCACATTCCAATGGGGAAAAAGGGAGGGATTAACCAGGCGGAAGGCATAGAGCCTACATGGAATAGCAAATACCCCAGAAATTCCCAGCAGACTTCTGCTTATCTCTCACTGTCAGAAACCATGTCTCAAGCCCCACCTTAGTTTCCAGGGAGGCTGGGAAATAACAGTTTTTGAGCTAGGCACATTGCTACCCCATAAATCAGGTATATGGAAGACAGGTAGAATGGATGTCAGCTAGACAATAGCAGTGACTACTCTTGGCACCTGGACTTTTCTCTTTTTCTACAATTCATTAACCCCTCATCAGCAAGTGCCATCAGTCCCATCTGTCTTATGTCCAAACACTTAACAGACTCAATCACACCTCTCCATTTCTCCAAATCCTGGCTTGTTCGGCTCCTACCCAGATCACAGCAACAGCCCTCTCTATACTCCTTTCTTCACACAGCAGCTGAGGTAACCGTTTTAAAGTATAAATATAAATCATACCATTCCCTTTTTAAATTCTACAGAGGATCTGCCACAGTTTGGGTTGCCCCTGAAGAAGACCCCCAGATGAGCATTTGAGAGGCGCAGCACACGTGGGTGAGGGGTATGTAGCAAGGCAAGGAAGGGAAGGTAGTCCAGAGATGGCGTGATGTCAAGCCAGCTCCCCAGCGGCAACAGAAGCCTACCCCTGGGGGGGCACTGGGAAATGGTTTAAAATACCTGCCTCGGAATTACCTGCCCCAGTGGGCAGGGAAAGGTATTTACACGACAGCCCCCAAGAGTCCCTGGCTCAGCTCTTTTGGCCTGAGAGCCCTGTATCTACCCCTTCCCTGACCCAACTCACTATGAAGCCAGCATTTTCTGTTATTTATCAGCCTTTCTGCTTATAGACTCTTCTATGTGAAGCAGAATCAGAAGAGAGACAGTCACTTAATTTCTTCAATAGGAAATAAGTTCAAAATATAATTTAAGGATGAGTCTATCTTAGAAGTTTGTTAAATTCTAGTCTCATTTGAAAGTAGCTAAATTTTTCTGATGCTCTCTGACAAACAATATCTTTATAAGATAGGAAACATCTTTAATAAGATACAAAAACATCAAGTAGGGCATATGAGATTTGGAATATTTATTTAAAATTATTATGTTAAGGTGTACATCATTTACTCTAGCAATTAATTATATGTATATTATATCTATAAACAGCATCACAGTAACTATAGATCTGGAGGGTATAAATGAATAACAAGTCATTAACTTTACATATATTTCTGCCTTTAGATTACCTTGCTACTTATCTTTACTTTCCTTTCTTCTTCAGCTGTTCTACAAAGTAATCATTACAAGCAACTGTCAGGGCAGCCACCATGACCACAAACTCATTAAAATCGACTTCATTGTCCTTATTGGCATCCAGGTCTTGCATTATCTTATCAACCAAATGCGGGTCCTTTTGGCACTGGAAGGAAAAAGAAAATCTCTAATTCCCGGGCTTTGAGATTCATAATGACAACTGAAATCACATCTTCTCTTTATCTAGATTAAAGTTTTTATTTTCATTTTGAGCAGCTAAGGACAATTTCCAAAAGCCTATTTGCAGGTAGGTTTGGGCCAGGCACAGATTCTCAATGAGCCCAGCACTTTGCCCCAGGACCAGATAATGCTGGCTCAGACCTGCAGACAAAGAAGGTCAAACAGCAGCTCACTGTGAGCTGCTGCTGAGACAGAGAATGCATTTACTACATGTCATCACTGGTCAGGGTCGGGACTTAGGGCCGGGACTCAGGGAGGCAGGCAGGGGATATGGAAAGAGCATTTCGAAGGCAAAAAGTGACCATGTGAGTGGTTCTACCATTTACAAGTTTGAGCAAATCACTTAACATTTTTAAATGTTCTTTTATATAAAATGGGGAGATTGATATCTCCCCACAAATTTGAGGGGTACTTCGACAAACCTCTAAATGTGCTTGGCAGCAGGTTACTATATTTAGCAGATAAAAATACAGGATGCTTAGTTAAATGTGAATTTTCGATGAACAATGAATGCTTTTTTAGTATATTTAATGGGACACACAACATTTTATCTGGCAGCCTTACTGAGCCCAACCCCTGACACAAAAATGACACACCCCATAAAGGCAGGCCTTACAGGAAGGGCCGCATCTATGGGGGCAAAGTGAAGCAAGGAGCCCGGGGAGGAGACCAGGGGTCAGAGACTGCAGGACAGCGAGGTGCCCCGCCCCCCTCCTGTGACCAGTGGTTAATGAGAATGTATTCCAGGAGAGGTTCACTTCTCCAGGAATTCCCCATTGCCTTTTCATTAGATACCAACTACTAGATGGTTGGAAACTTGAATTGATTGAGATCAACTGATCAAAAACAATTACAAATTTCACTTGAATAAATCAAGGTGCCAAGTGTGACTAACTGAGCTTTTTATTCTAAATGTTATATAATACAGTAGCCAAACTGAACTTGGAAAAAAAAATCCCAGTTCCTGGGTACTCCTAAAATCACTAAAAAGGTATTGTGAAGAATTACTACATTAACAAGCAGCATGTGACTATAGTTAATAATTGTGTATTTGAGAGTTGGTAAGAGAGTAGATCTTAAAAGTTCTCACAACAAGGAAGAAAAATATTGTAACTATGTGTGGTGACAGATGATAACTAAAATTATTGTGGTGATGATTTCACTATACAAATATTGAATCATTATGTTGTATACCTAAAATTAATATAATGTATGTTAATTATGCCTCAATAAAAATTATAGAAAAGTATATAAATTACCATTTGTCCTATCAATATACTAAAAATAAAACAAAATTATTTTTGGATTACAAAAATAAGTTCCTAAAATATTGCTATGAAACATATTTTTACTTAAAGTTTTTCCACAGAGGGTAGGAAGAAGAGTGTTGTAATTACAATCAGTATAGTCTCAGCACAGGGTTTGCCCAGAGTATGGTCATGCAAGGGTAGGATGTTGGGCTGAAGTCAATTTGATCAGCTCCATAAACATGGGAACGAGGAGCTTCTCTCAGAGGAGGCCCCAAACACTGCATGTAAGCTTCATGTGCAGACTTATTAAACTCTTGGCTATAGCTGGACAGAGCTCCAGGTATAACTAGCAAAACTAGCTGTAACTATAGTTACAGTGAGTGGTTAGAAAGCTATCACGAGCTATACCTTTGCTGCACCAGGAGGTTGGAGAATTGATGAAAGCCTCAAGTATAATTCACAATACTTGGAAAGCCTGGCCACAAGGAATGCAGAGAAGGCACGCACGGATGGATGTCACAGCAAACAAAGGTTGCTCGTGTCTGCGCCCCCTGTATTTTGAATCTCAGTGCAGACTCACAGGAGACTGTGCACACAGAGGCTGTCCCTGGGTATGCACTTCATCCACCCTCGGCTGAATGGGGCAGAAAAGCTGGGACTCACCGAGAGGAAGTCTGTGAGCTCTCTCTGCAGAAGCATCTTCAGTTCCCCCTTGCTGAGCTTGAATTGGTCCCCTTCCTTGCAAGAGTACCGGTGGAAGGTTCTAACCATGGTGTCCATGGCCATCTCCAGCTGCGTGGGCATGCTGGCAGCAGAACTGACGGCTCCAGGGGCAGGCCACCAAGCTCAGGGACTTGTTCAAAATAAGCAGTTGGGGAAACACCGACACTTCCATTAAAACAGAATATTGCGTGTTCATAAGTTAGCATTCAGACAACACACACAATTAAATCACAGGTTAAAAACAAATGAAAAAGAGGAAGAAAATATCTAACTGTACCTGTCCAGCCAGCCCACAGCTCTGTCAACAGGTGTTTACAATGAAGGCATATGCATTTATACCGAGGGTTCCAGGTAGACACACCTGTTGCCAAGAACATGAAAATTACCCATGACAAGAGATTTGCAGGGAAGTGCCTCTGTGCCTGTTTATAATCACCAGAGGGAACAGGTGTGAGCTGCTGCCCCAAGGGCCATCCAGGAAGGGATGGCGCCCACTGTGTGCCTTGGATGAGAAGGAGGAGGGGAAGGGGGCAAGGCAGGGCTGGCCCTGCCTTCCTGTGATCCCTCGTCACAGAGGGTGGAAATGCAGGCAGTGGCTAGGAAGTTGACAAGGGGAAAGAAACTTTAAAAATAGAGGAGCAAAGAAAAAAATGCCAGTTCAAATCTGCAGACTGCTCAGCAGAGCCAATAGCAAGGCTGAGGGAATAAACTCAGAGCAGACCAGTTCAGCTAGCCAAATGTGGAGCTGCGGAGCTACAAAAAAGAATGAGGAAGCTCTCCACGTGCCAGTTTAGAAAGGTTCAAAGCAGAATCCTGGCTGTGTAAGAAGGAAATAAAACAAGAATATATATGCCTATGTGCTTGGCATTTGAAAACCGAGTCACCGAACAGATGCCGGCAAAGCAGTAAGAGTGGTGGCCCTGAGCAGGGAGGGCAGAAGCAGGGAACACAGTGGTTGGCTCCTTTACACCTTTTCAACGGATTTTAACTTTTTCAGGTATAGGAATGTATTTCCTAGTTAGAAAATTCAAATAGAAGAAAGCCCAGGGCAGCTGTGAGTGCAGGAGTCCACCGGGTAGGGATTTCCAAGGGAGGAAAACTCAACGGCGAAAAAACATCACTAGAACAGCGAAGGCCAGAAACTGACCGCCGTGCCTGTCCTCTCAGAATGGAAATATAATTCCATGAAAAGCAAACCAGCATCTCCTTTTAATTTCCTCTCAACAAGCCTGTTGGGACAGTGCCTTAACCAGCCCATTCCCCTCCTTCTTACCCCCTGAACACTCCACTGAATATTTTTAAGTTGGTTTTTAAAAATTATTAAAGTGATAATGCATATGGCAAAGCAGTCATTATATGTGGAATACTCAAGGGTATGAAACAAAAGTGCATTTCCCCCTCCGCCATGCCCCACCACTAAGCCCTTCTGGTGAGCGGCACCCACTGCTCATGCCTCTGCCGCTGAGGAGTCATGTGATCCAGGGCTGGCCATTCACCACCTTGTGTCCTGGTTTCCCAGTCTGTACATGGGAGATAACAGTAGTACCTGCCCAGAAATGGGTTAAATAAGTTAACATATGAACATAGTAAGTGCAACGCATAGTCAGCTATTATCCTTACAAAAAATATATACATACCACAGGGGTCTGTCCTGAAAATATCCATCCACGTGCTAAGAAAAAGAGAGACATTTATTGAAGAAGATAGAAGATATAGAAACATTGTACGTAGGACAGTGATGCCCCAGTCCCCTTCAAAGTAGGCACCTGGGACCTCACACAGTTCTCCCAATAACCATCAGCGGCCCTGTCATATTTTACTGAATCTCACTGATGGTCTGAAATCTCTTCCCTTTCAAAGGTGATTTTAGTTTTGGAAAAGGCAGAAGTCTCAGGGTGCCAAATCTGAGCTGTAGGGGGGCTGAGTCACCTGGGTGACTTGATGTGTCACAAAAAAGCAGGGAGGAGTGTTCAAACCTAACACAAAATTTGATGTAGATTCATTGCTGTACTCCCTCAGTCATTTTGAATGTGATGGCCACATAGTCTGCATGCTCACCCAATGGCATCTACCACCCCCACTGACTAGTACAGTGAAGTTGTCATTGTTCACACATGCACATTCCAGTCCACTCTCCTTGGCTGCCAGGTCACATCCATATCACACAAACTATTCTTCTTTTTTTTTTTAAGATTTATTTATTTATTTATTTATTTATTTATTTATTTATTAGAGAGGGGAAGGGAGGGAGAAAGAGAGAGAGAGTAACATGAACATGTGGTTGCTTCTCATGTGGCTCCCAATGGGGACCTAGCCTGCAACCCAGGAATGTGCCCTGACCGGGAATCGAACCTGTGATGCTTTGGTTTGCAGCCTGCACTCAATCCACTGAGCTATGCCAGCCAGGGCTACAAACTATTCTTTTTATATATATAATGGCTGGACTTTTTCTGGACAGGCCTTATCATACATATCCTAGAATCTTGCTGCATAAGCACATATAGATCTACCCCATTCTTCATTAAAATCGCATACTGTTCCACTGGGTGAATGTACCTACGGGGTCGAGAAACATTTATCCAGGCACTTACACTATGTCAGGCCCTGGGTAAATGTGACAGAAGAAACTTGCCCTTGGAGCAAGTCTCGATGCCATTTTTATTGGGTTGTGTAAAATATATGGAATGCAGGGAACACTGACATCCTTTTTATGTTGGGTCTTCCTATCCAAGAACACCCCCGTGGCTTCGTGACCACACTCTTCTGGGTCTCCTTAATTCTGAATGCACTTGCCCTTCTCCAACTCTTAAACTTTGTTCCCCCCAGAGATTGCAGCTACTTCTAAAATTTTAGTCACTCCCCAAACCATATATTTTGGCCCACATCTCTCTGCTAACCTCCAATACCACTTATCCAATCGTCTGCTGGACCCCACAGCCACCTGAGTGTCCCACAAGCTTCTCAAACTCAATTAGGACCAAAGCAAAACCCATGCCATCCAGTTCCACCCATCACCCAGCATCTGGCACTATGCTTAAATATTGGTTGAACTCATCCACTTCTCTCCATCCTCACCACCTTCAGGACTTCATAAATTCTGGTCTCTATTACAGCTCCCTCTGCTTTCTGATCTGCATTCCACTGTCGGGGTGGTCTGCATAAAACACAAACCAGCGTCCCCACTCCTAGGCATTCAAGGGTCTGGCCCTGCCTGTGCACTGTTCTCTCATTCTTCTGCCTTCCTTCTGGGCCCACTACCTGAAATGCTAATTGTGTTTACTCCTCAAGGCTCAGTTTAAGTGTCTCCTCTTGGAAGTTTCCCTGCACTTCTCCAAGCTCCCCAGCCTCCACCCCTGTCCTCTTTTATCCCCTGGAGCATCCCCTTGTCTTTTTTTATCATTGCATTTATCACATATTCCTGCAGTCATCTTTTTCTTCCCTGTCCATACACTTCTCACTCTCCAGGCTTTGAATGAGTCCCTGGGTGGCAGAGCTGATGTCTGCTTCGCCTGTGCATTCCACAGCTTAACACAGGAGCAGCCATATGATGCAAATGCTCAGAAGTCTTTGCTGATGGATAGAGTGAAGAGCAAGCCTTAGAGAGGGAAACTAAGATCTCCAAAGAGTTGAGTCTTTTCTGGTATAACTCTCTAAAGAATTATCTGATTGCTTTTATTCTAAATAAAAAATTTGTTTCATCAAAGAGGGAGAGAGAGAGACAGGGGGAGAAAATAGTCATTTTAAAGACTATAAAGTTTGAATTTGGAACTAAATATGATCAGGGTAAGCTGCTTAAGTTATAAATGCACTAAAATGGGTAAGTTTTACAGAGTATGTGGGTCTCAGTAGTGTTATATTTTAATCATATTCAACCATAAATTAATTTACTTGGACAATTCAGTTGGCAGGCAAAACTCTTAATAGAATAGATATTTGAAATTGTGATTCTGTAGCCCTGACTGGTGTGGTCAGTGGGTTGGGCCTCATCCTGCAAAGCAAAAGGTCACAGGTTCAATTCCAGGCCAGGGTACATGCCTAGGTTGTGGATTCGGTCCCAATCAAGGCACATGTGAAAGGCAATGGATTGATGTTTCTCTCCCTTTCTCCTTCCTTCCCCTCTCTCTAAAACAAACAAACAAATAAATAAAATCTTTAAAATTGTGGTGCTGTAGACATATATACCTTCATGTTCATTGCAGCATTATTTACAATAGTCAAGGTACAGAAGCAACCTAAGTGTCCATCAACTGATGAACAGATAAAGAAGATGCAATATTTATATATATTTAAAATGGATATTTTAAATATTACTCAGCTATAACAAAGAATTAAGTCTTGTCATTTACGACAATATGGGTGGACATGGAGAGCATTCTGCTAAGTGAAATAAGCCAGAGAAAGAGAAATACCATATGACTTCACTGATAAGTAGAATGAACAAAACAATCCATAAACAGATTCATGACACAGAGAACAAACTCCGTTGTTGCCAAAGGGATGGGGGGCAAGGGACGTGAAAGAGATGAAGAGAATTAAGAGATACAAACTTCCAATTATAAAATAAATAAGTCACAGAGAGGTAATGAAGAGCATAGATAATACAGTCAATAGATAATACAGTCAATAATGCTGTAATAGCTTTGGATGGTGACAGAAGATAATTAAGACTTATGGTGGTGATCACTTCATAATGTATCTTCACATCAAAGCACTATATGGTACCCATAAAATAATATAAGTTAATTGTACATCAATAAAAACATTGTAATGTGATAATCTCACTCCAGACTTGAGAATATGGATTTTACATCCTTTGTTCTTGGAGTTGAAAAGCAAAGTACTGAATAGTTTTCTTAGTTACCGCATGGCTTTAAAAATAGAGCTATTTCCTTTGTATATGCTGCCCCCTAGTGTCAGACTGTGGGCGTGCATCTGGAAGCCTCTAATCCCCAGAACACGCTTGAAACTGAGTGACCCTTCTTCAGGGGCTTACTTGTAACGTGAGCTAGCCCCAGCCTCTGCTCTTCAGGAGTTTTTCAGAAACAAAGATAATGTCAGAAGACTCTCCAGGCCTCTGTCAAGACTATGGACCCAAATTTACAGGTGACGAAACCCTGGGCTGCCAGGGGAGGCATGGTTGTTTCGAGCATAGCAGGGCCCTCCAGTAGCACCTCACTTGGTCTATTGTTAGAGGTTTACTTTTTAACTTTTGGCATGAAATAACAACCCTTAGGGCTAAAAGGTGCAACTTAACATCTAAGACAGTGTGCAAAGAATGAGAGACATGGGTATATCAGATTTGGGGGCGTTTGAAAGTCAGGGTTGTTTTAGAGAAGAAAAAGCGAGAAGTCCACAGGTGGGAGCTGCGAGCAGAGCTGTTTGAATGTGGGGCTTTGACCACAGAACCTGAAAGAAAGGACACGTGCAAAAAAACAGGCCATCGCACCAAGTGGGACATGACTGACGCCCCCCTCAGGCTGGGGACACGCAGGGTGCCTGAGTCTGCCTGCGAGGGCACGCCACATGGAAGGCCAAGTTGCCTCATTCGAAAGTTTCCAGTTTTTATTTATGTCACCTGATGCAAATGCTCTGTCATTGCGATAGCAATGCCGCGGATGAATCTACAATCATCACGTGGGGTGGGAGGGAGGAATTACAAAGGGCAGGAGGGCACTTTGGGGTGATGGGGATGTTCACTGTCTTGCTGGTGGAGGTGGTCTCACCGGTGCACGCTACATGTGCCAGAATGGCCACGGGGTGGATCCTGAATTTGCGCCGTTCACTGCATGTCAATCATGACTCCACAAAGCCATTCAAAGAAACTTTCCCAGAGTCACATGACAAGATTATAGCAAAGTGAGGTTCAAACCCAAGTTTGTCTGACAAAAAAATAAAATCATGCAGCTATTTAAAAGTACAATTCTAAAGACTACAGAAATGCAAAAAACTTTTTAGCAAAATAAGTGAAAATAGCAAAATTAAAATCATATGTATGCTGTAATTGAAAAAAATTGTGTACATATAGAAAAGAAGAGAAATACAAATAGTTTGGATAGTTATTTAATAAAATTAGGGATCATTTTAAAATTATTTAATGCTGCTATTAAATTGCATTTTCAATTAAAACATCAACTGTAATTGCACAGCATTTAAAATTGTAATCTACATTCATATTAGGCAATGTCTTTTAAGGCATAAAGTTGAATTCTAAAACCTGGCAAATAAAATTCTAGACTGAAAATGACCATGTGTTTATATATTCATAAGATAAAGGAAATAGGCAAAATGTTATTCGGTGTTTTTATAAAAGTAATTTTATTTTGTGCTATTTTTTGTTTATGGTAATTTTAAATCATTAACAATGGCTATATTTTACTTTTATAACAACAAATGAGTGTTTTAAAAATTATAGAATTGTCAAAAAGCACTTAAACCACCCAAGTGTTGATGTGGCTATAATACCGACTTTCCTGAGGCACTTTCCAGTTTGCAGAGCCTCTTCCTCACACACACTATTCAGCAACAAGCATTTGCCCAGTTCTGGTTACAGTCTGGAAGAGCTTATAAAGACAAATGCTCAAAACGCTACTGAAAAATAAGTACAGAATATTATGAGACACTAAACTGACCATTAGGTATGTGACTGACTGCACCTCCGTTTCCACAAAAGGAAA